AATTTTTTGTTATATTTTGCAGTTAACCAGGAAGGATGATTTAAGGCGTCGGTGGCTTAGTGGTTAGGCTCTCAGACTCGTAACCGTAAGGTCGTGGGTTCGGATCCTGTCTGGAAAGGCACTGTACATGAATTTTCCTCACTTCACCCAGGTGGGAATGGGTACTCAACTATAGAAAGTGAAAGATCTTGTTAGTATGTTAGTGTTAGTGTTTGAGCTCTTAATCAGCTGCTTGCACTGTATGTTTCCTGGGAAGCTGAGAATGTTTCTGAGTGTTCTATGGTCTGCTGAGGTAATTATACAGTGTAAAGTGTATAGAGCTTGCTGTCGAGCGAGGATATAGGCTATACAAATGCTATTTATTATTATTAATGTTATTATTATTATTATCATTATTATTATTATGTACTTTCTGTAGTCTCTGGAGGGAACCCCCCCTCCCCATTGTTTTCGGTGTATGGACACGTACAGTATGCTTTGTGGATTGAACCACACTGACTTCGTACACATGTATGAGCTCAGGTGAAAGTTGGTTTGTGCAGTCAAGATTAACCCAATGAAGCTGAAAAGAAAAACTAATCATTGTGGGTTTGGAGAAACTTTTACAGTTTGCATAATGTTAATGTCGATTTGGACTTGATTTTATTTTGAACAATATTTCTTGAACCACTTTGTGCTTGTTCTCAAATGTTGCACGAAGAGTTTAGAAAGTCTGGCGGATGCATTATATCTGTAGATGTCTGGGAAGTCTGAAAGGAGTTTTGCGGGATGGAATTGTGTGTATTTTCACGCTGGGAAGCAAGTTATTTTCTGTGCCAGTTCATTCATGTAGAGGAGAGGCTTACTGAATCCAATGCTTTTTCAGTTTGGGAACTGTACCTTTCTTTTCAGTGGGTGGTTGGCGGGTGCTCTAATGTAGTTTGCTCCTTCTTTCTTATCAATCATTTTTCTTCCTTATCTCTCCTTTTTTATTCTTGTATGCTTGTTACTACTCTTTTGTAGCATATCTAATACTTTTCCAACGAGATCTTCCCTTCCTGTGACTTTGTCTTTGCTCAGGTTTTCAGTTCACGGGTCAGGCTTACCTGTTTTCTGTGTGTTTTTCACCCTTTGACTCGGGGGTTCTGAGCTTGGTAAAAGTCAACTTTAGCTCTCATCTGGAATTTACTTTACCTGGTATGCACACCCGGGCTCTCTACTCTCCACTGGACCAAATTTGAGTCACTGCTACATCATGCACGAAAGACACTTTTAACTTTTAAGGATGAGGGTGGGGTGGGATGGGAGGGACTTGCACCCTTTGCTTTGCCCTCACCGAGCTCCAAGAATGTCTCAATATCTGCTCACGGATATGTGGGTAGTTTGCCGGCGTTCTGGTGTGATTTGCTCATACTTTCCTACCAAACATCTATCGACCTTACTTATTTTCTTTGAATGTTACTCTCTATTAACATAATTAATCTTTGGCACTTACATGGCTATTTGTGTTGCAAGTGATGTAAAACTCTTCCTGGGTTCGAAACCTGACAGTGATGGAAAATGTTCCTCTCAAAATTGTTTTCCTTTTCCCTCCTTTCCTGCTCTCTAACCATGTTCTGTTATCTGCTTTTGTCTCCACTTTCTTCCCCCCCACCCCCCTTGCCACCTTCTCTGGGCACCTGACTCTTTCTGCAGCTCTCTTCTGCTACTCCTTGGCTCCTCGTTACTGCTGTCTTTTAGTTTCAGCCACACCCCTGATCTTAGGGTAGGTAAGATCTAACATTTAGCCTTCTCAGAGAAGGGCAAAAAATCTCGGAAGTCCAGTGTGCAAGTTGCGCACGTTAAAGATCCCTTCGGATCCAAAATCGATAAGAGTAGGCTTATGTCGCCTGCTGGGCAAAATTCAAAATTAACGTAATTCTTCCTACCAAACTGAAAATGTTTAATGTGTCCCGTTCGCTCATATTATTATATGACTTATGCAGTTGCGAGCAGTGTAAAACACCAATATAATCAAAACTATTCCCAAAACTAAACTTATTGATACAGTAAAGACAGGTTATTTCGCTTGGGGGAGGTAGCCTACAAGTACACCGTTTTCACTTTACCTGTTTCCAAACACAGTGGATGTTTTTCATTATAACATCCTTTTCTTGATGAGTGTTGGTGTCGTGTGTTCACTTGCTGTTTGAGTTTGAGTAAAGAGAAGCACATGGACACCATAATGGTCATTTGGAATTGGGGTGTTGGGAAAAAGAAAGACAAACAGACAGAAACAACAGAAGAAAAGTTTAAAAATGGGATCTACCAATGATTCCCTCCAACCACCTGCTTGCCTCATTGCAGACTGTTGAAAACAGCTAATTCCTTCTTAAAATTTGGACAATCTTTTGCTATAGGAGGCAAAGTTTGCATTTGACTGCTAAGTTAGTGTAAGACTGCCATACGCCATAGTGAAAAGTGGCAAAATTGTCTTTGTAAATAATGGTATAAGACTGGCAAATTATCTTTGTAAATGAGAGACTGGCGATTGTCTTTCTAAAAGACCATGATATAGTGAGTCTGACAGCCACTTTGTCGTTGTCAAAGATATGAGAATTTACCAATTTGTCATATTTAAAGACAAAGAGTAGGCCATTATGAAGGTAGAGCACTTCGTCCGCCGATAGGACACCAAATTGAAAGTAATGTTCTTACACAATATGTTTCAGGTGCACTTTGATAGTTTCCTCATCATGCCTGATAATGGACATGATCATACTCTGATTTTTAGCGCTACCTACTTTACGTACTTTTCTGATCCAGCGGCCATTTGAGTTCTAGCCCTCGGCCTAGATAGCGCTATCTAAAATTAGCCAAGAAAGTCTCTCTTTGTGCAATACAGGAGATTCTTTCTGTTTAACATGTTCAGAAGCCCTTTAATACTTTAAAAAAAAATAAACTGTGGTACAGGGAGATATTTACTGGACTGAACAAGTGACCATTTTTGCACAAAGAAAAATGGGTCATCATTTTAAAGCAAAGGAGGGAGGTGGTGAAAAGAATTTGCTCTGTATCTTTTTCTGGAAATTTTGTTTTCAAGGTCCTGAAGAACTCGGGGTCCGAAAGGTTTCATAATTTTGTTGATGTTTTTGCATTTGTTTTTCATGTCCAGACAAGTTTTACAAGCACAGCTGTGGATGGGATTACTGGGTGCTGAGTTTCGTTTGACTGTGTAGTGTAATGAGAGTTTTGGTCTCCTAATTTTGAGGGATAGCTTGTTAGCCTTGGCCTGGGGGCTCTCCAAAGGTGCACTTGATTCTTTTGTTAATATTTCTGTAGCTGAAATTTTTTTTGCAGGGAGAGGTAGCGAACCGCTCACCCTACCCTCCTCCTCCTTTCTCAGCCAGGCTTGGGACCATCCTTGACAGAGTTTTATCCGTTAAACAATGACAAAATTCTCCACAATAAGCTAACATTCAGACATGTGACGCAGCCATGTATATATATAATATATTATTATACACAACTCAACTATAAAATCCAAGCACTTTGAAAGTTCAGCTCTTTTATTTTCTTATGCCACAATCTCCATATGAAAACATTTCAAGCATAATGCAAGATACATAATTAATTCTGACACAAAATATCTTTATGGACGGATCTCGACAAAGTTAAGAAAGGAAGTTACTCACAGCAGTACATGTCATGTATCAATAAATAAAACAATGGTTTTGGTCACAGCACAACCCACCCTCCCCCCCCTCCTCAACTTCATTTTGCAAATTTCAATTACATGTATAACAAAAAAGAAATTTTGTAAATAAATTCTGAAAACCCCCAAAACAGCAGCCTGAAAATCTCTTTCACAAACGTCAAAGTATATTAAAAAATTACTTGAAATGACTTGGATTTTAAAGAAAAGTAAATTGCCTTATGTCTTCAATCCTGGCTTTGGATTTGAAAAATGTTTCCAAACATATTATATCATATGCCCTTTGTCAGTAATGGCTCAGCAGAAAATGCACCATGACAAGCTTTCAGCAAAGAATGATAAGTAAAAAAAATACGCTTTTCCTCAACAGAGAAGGCTCTCAGCTCCGACTGTAGAGAAGACGGCTTTGGTTGTTGGTTTACATAATGGCTTCATATAAAAAGAGACTAACAGCTAACTGTGCAATCATTTCCAGAACTTTAGTAAAATTGTGTCTTTCAAATCTGAAAGAAACCATCAAATTTTAAAAATCAATATCTATCATGCAGATAAAAGTGCTGAGATGACGTTTTTTTTACAAAAGATTCACATAGTTCCTGCAGTAGCTTCTGAATATTAAGGGCTATGCCCAGGTAACATACAGAGTTTTAAAATAAGATGTACATAATCTTTGATTAGATGTTAACATGTCCATACTCATAAACGGTTGTGTGTGTAGACTGATATACAAATTTTTTTTGCATAAAAAACGTTTGGACTTTGGACTAGCGCTATTTCTCTGACAATCCCAAGATTCTCAACCGTAATAATATGCACCATATTGTTCTCGATTGAAAGAAAATGCAACAAAGAGAGACAATCTTTTGAAGTATGAATTATACCCTAGTGTGTTCAAAATTGACAAAATATATTCTACAAAAGTCATGATTAAACCAAATATAAAACCAGAGACAGTTTCTGAATTATGCCCAAATATGATTACAAACCACGATATAATATTATATTCAACACAAATCATGACAAAATCTTTACCTCTAAATTTTAAGCATCTCTTTAATGGCTTTTTCTCCTTCATCTTTTAGAATTTATGGTTTAAAGTTCCAATGAATTTTTAATGAACTGATAATTAGATATTTGCAAAAGAACAAAAAAAACCAGAGACAATTTCTGAATTATGCCCAAGTATGATTACAAACCACGATATAATAATATATTCAACACAAATCATGACAAAACCTGGAGAAAATTTTGTATAATACAGTCCAGATATTGTTGTATAGTACAGTTCAGCAGCGTGTTTACCACAGATTTGATTGCTCAAAGTGTCTCCAGTATCAGAGATATCACAAACAGAGCTTGCATGGTTATAAAGAAAAAAAACAGTACATTGAAACAGACGACAACTTACAAAGATAAGTCACACACAATAAAATGAAAACTCAAATCTTCAACATACAGGACATGGACGCACACAGAAGTACATGCATAACCATAAAAATGAGGCTTATGTTGTAATCTACAGATTCAGCTTTTCAGTTTGAATATCTTCTTTTGGATTGGGCTAATGAAAAGCACATTAACGTAATGTTTGAGAAGCATAGAGAAAGAAAAATTAAACCCTAAATACTAGACAGGTGCAACAGAATAAGAAAGCAGAAACTTAGATCTTAGACCCCCACACACTTTTTAACCCTTAAAAAAGATCTCACCAAAAAAGATATCTCTTTAATCCGACAAAACATTTGTGCGCATTTTGTTTAGAACAGATGTACTTGGACATATGAAAAGTAAAGGGAAACACAAGAACTGTAAGCACACATGTAAACACACACACATAAAAAGACTGCATGGACATGTAAAAACAGGACAGTACAATTTTGACTTCTAACATAGTTTTCAGAAAGAAATGAAAGTTAAAACGAAAAAAAAAAGCTTTAAAAAAAGTTAAAGTTCACCAAAAAAGGGAAGTTCCTTCTCACAGAATTACCACTAAGTTCAAGACGGTTCCCCAATTCATGTATACAGGTGTGGCTAAAGAAAAGATAAACTCTTATGAAGAGTCTTTCCAAAGGACTTATTTTCAGGTCTGGCTAAGGAAAAAAAAAGCTGATACAACATTGAACCCAGTACTACAACAGTTTGAACCCATGACCCCAAGATCTTTCTTACATAGAAATGAGACAGATACATCTTTTGGCAAGACGAAAATGTGTAACACTTTGGCAGAATGAAATAGCATGAAATATTCAGTACTTCAGTACACTCACACATTGGTTTTGTACCACATTTATATCAGTGCATACTGATAAAAATAATGTTAAAATGTTACACGTAAATATATTTCAATGTTAATACTGTGATAAATTTTCTATCAAATACCCATATATAAAAGAGTCTTCATCTTTTTCACTCGGTCTCTTCCACAATGAAAACCACGAACAATGTATATATGCATTAGAACAGAACCAATACAAACAAACAGTCAAATCAATCTTTCTTGTCTTAAACAGAATAAAAATCATGAGCCTTTAAAACTTGCTTCAGGAAAAAATTATTGAGTGTACAGAGGCAATGCTTTTCTCCTGTCAACTTCAGTCTTTGGTGTATAGGTAGACAGAAGAGAAAAGGGCTAGTCTAGAATTGATCATGAGATTTAATAAATGTATAAAAATATTTGCCTTCATACATTATATTAAATTTCAGCTAAAACGCCATGACAAGGCATTGAACATTCTTCAGATTATATTTAAACATTAGAGAGAGGAAGATATCTGAAAATAAACTAGTTGTCACAGCTATGGTTTTTTTGGGTCAATATTACTCTCATCCAACAATTTTGCTTAACTTGAATTTTAACAGTTCCTGATCTATGCAGCCAACCTCACTGCAGGGTATTGGGCTTCAACACCTGTCCTAGCTTCTACGCACACATTAGTACCCTGGTGACAAACAACCCTAAAAAGCTTGACGCTAAGATTTTCTTTTTTTTAAAAAGGCGAGACAAACATCTCTAAAAAGCTTGACGCTAAGATTTTCTTTTTTTTTAAAAAGGCAGACAAACTAGTCATGCAAGTACCATTAAGCAGCTACTCTGACTGAGGGCTGAGGACGTTCAATCCCTGAGGACGACTCGAGACAGGTGGTATTGGCAGCTTCACACACCCCTGACGAGCTCTCCGCAGTTTGAGCAAACTCCGACGCCCTGGCCTCACACAGCTGGGCTTGGCATTGCGGGCTGAGACCTGGTTGAGCAGAGAAGGACCTCTCACCTACTGCAGGCAAGGGTCGTGGGTAGCGGCGAGCAGAGAATACTGGAATACGGAACAGGTGATTTTCTCTCTCCTCTGGTCGAAGACGCACAATGGGCCTCTGGCTTAGCTTGTTCCGAGACTTGTGATATGCACTGCAGGAAGAAAATACAACAGCTCGAGGTTAAGACCTAACTTGTGTCTAAATAACATCATTTTTATCCTATATAATAATAGAAAGCATATAAACAAGCAAATATTTCCCATGGACCTTCCTTAAATAATACACACAAAAATCTCAGGCAGATTGATAGATGCTCAAAGAAACTAAACTGATTATCAAGTCACCTCCCTCCCCCACACCAGGAAACTGGTCACTCAGAATTCTGGGGCATGCCACTTTCAAAATAAATCTGGTGTAAATTCTTCCATGTGTATTTAGCTATTTTAAGAAAGAAACTAGAAGCAAGGACAAACACAGATATGAGCATGAAATCATGCAGGCAAGGCAGAAAGGGGAGAAAGAGAAGCAGAAAAGGAGAGGCAGAAAAGGAGAACAGAAAGGTCAAAATAGAAAAAAAAAAGACAGCCAAAACAGTTAGTTGGAGAGGAGGAGAAAAGAAGAGAGAGAGAGACAAAAATTAGACAGAAAGAGAGAGATAGAGAGGGAGAGAGAGAAACAGAGGGGGAGAGAGAGAGAGAGAGAGAGAGAGAGAGAGAGAGAGAGAGAGAGAGACTGACAGACAAACAGACAGACAGAAGTACATGTAGTAAAACTAATTTTCAACATGTTATCCACGTAAAGCTAGAGCAATGAACAACTAGCTAAGTAATGCAATGAAACAGCGAGTCTCACTTGAAATCCTGGCCCTTAAGCTCTTTGAACTCCTGATGATGGTAGTCGTAACACGGGATGTGATTGTCGTCCGCCGCCCACGTGTGGTCAAACTGACCCGGGTTGAAGCCGACAAATCTCCCGTAAGCCTCCTCTGGGACAGCCGGGTGCAGTGGTAGACCCAGGCGTCGGGCTTCCGTGTCAACCAGCGGGTCATTGACCACAGACAACGGTGGGATGGCGTTCACATCTGGACCAATTCCCTGCAAGCCAGACTTGTGCAGCGGGTCTTTCAGCAGCCCGCGAAGCCTGTCCAGCTGGTTGCTGGAGTAGAAGCCTTTCTGGCGCAGCTCCGTCTCAGGGAGCACACGGTGGAAATGCTGGCGAATGTCGTCCACAACAATACGGGATTTCCAATCCTCTGCTTGTCTGGAAAGAGAGGGGAAAGATACGCAGTGAGAATTGAAAGGCTTTCTGAGGACCACTAGTTGAACCGACTGAAATCAGGCTTATGTCATCGAGAACTAAATGTATGCAAAATTTTCCTCAGTAAGCCACAGATTTACATTTTTTGCTGGTTCCTCATTTGATAGCCCCATTAAGTCTGATTTTAAATATGTTTTTACTTCGTTACCCCTGTCTTTGCATGTTGGACCTCCAAAAGATTTCAGACTGCAATTTTCAATTTGATCCAATACACCATTATTTTTGTCTATTGACAGAATTCTTGTCTCACTACTAAAAGACTGCAAGAAAAATGCTGACAGTTGGTAACTTACTGAACTTTCACTGCCATCTTCTCCTCCGCTTGTTTCACCCCTGGAAGGTGAATTGACAGTGGCTCCTTGTTGCCAAAATCAGGCTCTGGTTGAGCGTAGAGTTCAAGGTCTTCCCGCCGTTCAGGCCAAGGGAAACGACCCCGGTCTAGAGGAGACTTGAACTGATTAGCATGAAGTATGTTCTCGATCCATTCCTGGAAGATGACGAAAGACAGGATTTTGATATAGATAAATGGCTATACAACAATTTACTTGAGTAAAAAGCATCAGGACACAGACAAAGAGAATAAAAGTCTTGAAGCAAGTAAATGAAAAAGATCAGGAATAGATTGCTGCAATTAGCCCCTCTCATGGTGGAATAATCTATTCTCAGATATCCAAATACAATACCAATTCTGGAGTATCGTCCCTGCCTTCTTTCTTTGATCTTTTCAAATCTTTATGCTAAGCCAAACCTCTTCATTCCTTTACAATTATATCGTTATGTCTAGTAGGGTGTTAAAATAGATTAAAACAAACAAAAGAATAACTTCAGAAAATGCAACAAGGTGTGTATGCTTCCTGGGAAGCTGAGAGTGTTTCTGAGAGTTCTATGTTCTGCTTGGGTAATAATACAGTGTAAAACGCATAGAGCTGGCTGTCAAGCAGGGTATGCACTATGCAAATGCTATTTATATATTTATTATTATTATAATCATTATAATTATTATAATTATTGTTATTATTATTATTATTATTATTTTATAATTATTATTATATCAGCATTATCGGAGCAAAGTTGAGCTGTGGCGCTCATATGACCTTATGCAATTGCGAGCGCCGTAAAACCCTCTACTATTTAAAAAAAAAAAGAAAAAAAAGTTGAGCTGATTTAGCACATCTGAGAATGCTTCACCTCTTTGAGCTCATCAAGCCGAGCAAAGTCCGGTCGTCTTGGGTGCACGTTGCTGTCCTTGGTGCTCTTCATGCCCGGGAATATCCAACCCTCAGAGGTACGCCACATGGCCCGGTCTTCTGCCGCCGCCGCTTTTGCCTCCAGTTCTACATTAGCAGGGCAGAACATCGCCGACATAAACTCCTGGTTGTAGGCATATCTATAAGGGAGAAAGAGAGATGGGGGAAAGGTCACATGCTGATAAACACATTTGTAAATAGCCCTGAAAAATGTCATTACCTGACTTCTCCTACTTGAGATTTCATACATGTTCTGCATCTGCTTTGCTTTTGAAGGGAGTTGGTTGAAAACTGTAAATGGCATCATAATAAGTTGAGACATTTTGAAGTACCCTGGAAGATTTTAGAGAATCATTTACATCTAATTGTAACTGTTTCAGATTCCATCCCAATGGTTAAAAAAAAACCCCCAAAAATTAATGTATTTCTATAGCCCAGTTTCCTTCCCCCAAAAAGTTTAAAAAACAATACTCAAATTGCAAATGATTAACAAAAGAGAAAAAACAATTCTAAAGACTCACAAATGTAATATGAAGGTCACAAACTCTTCAATGTAATGAAAATTTATCTCTCTCAAAGCCTGAGGTTGTACTCAATGATTTTCATTCATGCATTAGAAAACACATTACCAAAAATATTCTTTTCTAAATAAAATTTTAAAAAGCTAAAAAAACTGCAAGTTCCATTGGATAATAATAATAATAATAATAACAACAATAGATAGCATTTGCATAACGCAAATTTCCTATCAACAGCAAGCTCCATGCCTTTTACAATCGACATCATTACCCCAGCTGACCTGATAGCATTCTGAAACAATCTCAACTTTTTGTGAAGCATACAGTACAAGCTGCCATTTTATAGGGGGATATATATCATAAGCATCATATAACACAGCCAATACTGTAAATAACAAAAGCAAGAATTCCCTGTTTGGTCCACTCACCTAGCTGTTGGGTCTTTTTCATTCAGGTACTGCCTTAATTTCTCCCTTGCCAGCTCTGTGGAGTTGAGCGACTGAGTGCTGTAATTGTGGGCAGGATCCACCTCCACAGAGATGCGAGGCTTCTTGTTCTTCTCTCGCTCCACACGGCACAGTTCACTTTGAGCCTGGACGTCTCGCTGAAACAAGACAGGTTATGGTTTGGAGCTGATGACAACTATAGTGGTGTGGCAGCTATATTGGTGGCCTCTCTCTCTCTCCTTGGTGGTATCTTAAATAGGAAAAGATTGCTCAGCTCATAGTTTACTGACAATATATTTTCAGTCTATAGTATTTCTTCATCTTTTTTTTTGGTGTGAAATTGCAGAAGAAAGTAAAGGATAATTCTTTACCTAAAATTGTAACTGATTTTTAAGAGTTTATCCAATTTTTTCCCAGAACATTGTGCACTTTACCTTTTAAGGTACACCACGGGAGCCTAAAAAGTCGATTTTGGTATCCAAAACCGATTTTTCGATTTTGGACTATTTTAGTAGAGCAACATCTGCTTTATCGATTGGAAATATTTTCAAGTGTCCAAAACATCTATAAAGTGCTCACATATGCCATGTTTTTTAACATTGTGTGGTAATAGAATGGTATGAATTCGTGTTTTTTAAAGTTTTCTCAAAACTATGATTTTCTTAGGGGGGTGGGTCACCTTGGCAGAGATATTTCTAAAAGTACTTGTCGCAGCTGAATCCCACTTTGCATGACTGCTTCTAGATAATATGTTTGCAACGTACTAAAAGATTATTGTGATATTGTAATAAGTCTTCCGTCAGTGTTAAAAAGATTGGCAGCATAACTCTGATTTGTGATCATTTTTTTGTCCAAGTATCGCATATGACACTAAAAGGGCAGTTACAAGAAAAGTATGAGACTTAGGAAAGTAAATCTTTAGTACGTTGCAGGTTGTATATACACAAACTCTGTGTGATAATATCAAGGCTGTATCAATTCAATCTTTTTCAGAATCCCTGTCAACAATTTGCGCAAATTTTGGTCTGTCGAACCCTTTGCATCTAAAAAATTTTTTAAATTGACAGTGAAATCATATAGGGAAAGTGTGTTTTTGTTTCTTGACCCATACTGGTTATTGGGAATCCCAGTATACTTAATTTAGAGCCCAAACACAAATTTTCATTTCAGCTGTACCTAGTTCACCGCTGCCCTATGACTTTTGTTTTGAAAGAACATCTATTTATATATTGTGACCACAGTCTCTTCAGTCTTAGAGGGAGGTCTGTTCCAGAAATAAACCCTGGCAGAGGACCGTAACAGGGTCTCTCACATTTGCAACCCACACAAGCGGACTTAAGTATTTGTTCTTTTCTGAGAATATTAGGTACTCAATCCCATTTATCCTAGGACTAAGGTTGTGAACAGCCAGAGAAATGTAAGTTATCAATCAACAAAGCCTGTTTGGACCAGGAATTGAATCAAAGTCTTTGATGTAAGAGGACAGCATCACTATCCTAATGAGCATTTACTGCCTAAAGAATGTTTTAAAAAATCGTTCTTCAAATGTAGAGCGTGCAGGAAACAATACTTCTGCAGACATGAAGTAAAAAAAAAAATGCATTGTCACTATGGCAGTATACTTTAATACAAAAGAAAAAGAAGCCAGCAGACAGGTAAAGGGGCCAAAGGAGAGGAAAAAAGTAAGACTAGGGAGGAACATGTTCCAACAACCCACTCCAATATGAAGCAGATAGCAAGAAGGAAAACATTTAAAAAACAGCGATCAGGTTAAACTATAAAAACACTATCATCATTACCTTTCTCACATCCTGTATAGGCCACGAACAAACATTTTCCACCTTGGAATCAGACGCTCGACAATTTTTGGGGATATGGAGTTATTGATATCATCTTGAGCCTTTGTGCCCTCGCCACCGGTACACTGGTGGCGCATACAATTGCCCGTATGCTTAGCCACCGGAACAGCGGTGAACGAGACCCCATCCCCTACCCGGCCCGCCTGGGACAAAACGCGCATGGGAAACTATGTTTACTGCACAGGAAGCGTTACTGGTTATTTTGAAGATCTTTCTGAATTAGATGCCAGTAATGACAAAGAATACCATGACTAGAATATGGAATGTGATCCTGACCATCACATGAACATTAATAATACTCGTATATTGCCCAGGAGCTCAGGCAGAGGGGCATGGTAGCCTACTTCAAAAGCTGTAGTGTCCTTGGAAACTGAAAATTTATCTTTTTTTTGTGCCTTTGATCAACATTTTTTTGTAAAATCCTCACTAAAATGTGTTTTTGATAGAACATAAAATGTGATGAGCAAAAAAACCCAAAAAATTCATTAAAAATTGCCAAACTTGCGGAAAATTGCCATTTTCTTTGATTTCATTATTTTGATGAGCGTCTGATTTCACCATGATGCCTCACATATTATTCCATGTCTTCCCACTTTTCTGTATATCATTCTCTGTGACTTATGAAAACAATGCATCCTTATCAGAACAGTATCACATGTGGGGGCATTGCTTGTTTGGAAGGAATAATAAACAGAAACAAATGCTGAAACAGTCCTTTCTAGTCGAATCTGCTTCTGCTGTGAACAGTTCTCCCATTTAGCTATGAAATGCCGACAGGTACATAATTTTTAAGTCACAAAATGAATAATATTCTGTATCTGGGACTATGATTTAAGAGTACACTGCCGAAATGTACCTAACCAATGAAAAGCCAAAATCAAGCTCTTTACTCACAATGTTGGCCTCCACGTAATTCTGCCTCTCCCGGCCTCTGCTGAGCTGCTCGATGTAATATGGATTAAAGTTGTCGATGGGAGTCCAGTCTCGCGATGGCTCCGCCTGGTACGGTTTTGGGACAGACACTGGAGCTTCCACCACCTCCTCCTGGGCTGACGGATGCAAGTCTGAGGAAATAGCACCAAACAAAGCAATATAACTTCCAAACAAAAATGGGGAAATTTGGAAAAAATATACTCAAACTGGCAAACACATCTCTGATTTAAAAATAACATTTTGAAAAGAACATTTTCGGTAATGTGTTCTCTAATGTAAACCGAAGAACATAGAGTTATCACAGTGGGACCTGATTTTTGCATAACAAAACCTCAAATCTTCAGAGAGAGAAATTCTCTCTTTTGTATATTCAAACTGGCACACTCGTCTTTGATTTAAAAAATTTTTTTTTTTACCAAGTATCAGGTGAGTTAACCCTGCTGCTTTTTTCAATAAAACTCACCTTCAAAGTCCTTCTGGGTGAAGGGTACGCCAAACTCTCGGCTCATAGAAACAATCATGTCCGCTGTCGGGAACAACTCGCTCCTCACCACATCCGTCATCTTCTCCATCTTTGTCATCTGAGGAGAATAGGAATTTTGAATTTACTGTTCCGAGGCACAAGGATCTCATGGTTGTAATAATACTAGAGTGTATAGAACATATTGTAGAGCATGGGTATGTGCTATATATGTGTGGAATCGGGCGCATCCTCAATTTTTGGGCATGTGGAGTTATTGGTGCCATCTGAAAGCTGATTTATTCGCCTTGCTTTAAATGAAATAGATATCCATTTATCTTGAATAGAACTCGAGATATTTGCGATTGAAGGAAGTGAGTCGCCGGGTTTCAGTGGTGAAATTAGCGAGCAAATGGCCGCCAAAGTTTGGTAACTCCAATAGCTAAAGAAACCTTGAAAACAGAAAAATGATATATTTTGTGTTTTTAATCAATGTTTTTCAGCAAGATTCACATGGAAATGTGTTTTTATTTGAACATAAATGTGATTGAGCCAAAAATAAAAATTTGGTAAAAAACATTTCCAAACTGGCAGAAAAATGCCTGTATCTCCGATATCTGTATTTTGATGAGCGCTTCATTTCACCAGGCTGCCTCACATATAATCATTATTATTGTTATCATTATTATTGTTATCATTATTATTGTTATCATTATTGTTGTTATTTTTATATCATTATTATTATTATTATCATCATCATCATCATCATTATTATAACTATTAGTATTGTAATCATCATTATTATCATTATTATTACTATTGTCATTATCATCATCTTTGAAGGAAGACAATGTTAGCAAAAGCACAACAATACACATGTGAAGTGGTAAAAATTAAAAGAACAAATCTGCATTACTATTGGGATCCACAAAAAGTCATCACCCAAAAAAGAGGTGTTATATTAATTCAAGTTAAAGAACAGTGCTGCTGAGGGTGCAACATTTTGATACACTCATATTTTCCTCACATTGGCCAGGTCTGTGAATGTACGTGTTTTTATGCCCACATCGACACAATGTACGATCATTTAGGAGGCGAACCTCCAAGCCTGCCTGTCAAGGCCAACCCCAGGCTGAGAGAAAGATACAACATCCCAGTAGAAAGCTTGATATACTTGATAAACATTTTCTCCTCACTCAGGAATTTAACTTGGCTGTCCGGCAAGTAAATGCAAAGCGCAAAATCCCAACACCACAAACACAGGTGCATGGTCTGTGGCATTTACAATTTTCAGTATATAAAAAGAAGCAAAGCCATAATACACAGCATCAGGCAGCTCCTACCTGGTCAAGTTTGATGAGAGCGTCAAAGCAGGGGCGCAGTACCATGTCTCTGACATATAGCAGAGACTGCTGCACGATGAGGGACAGAGGCTCGTGCAGCTTGACCCGGCACAGGTCAACATCCAGAGGCCCGTACAGACGCTTGCCAAAGCTCATATCAGAGTTGAACAACACTTGAACATCTGGAGCAGAAACAGCACAATTCATGGAGAAGTTTTCGAAAAAAAATGGGTGGGGGAAGGGCTAATCAGGATCAATGATGATGAAGAACTTTTGTCCGTCCCCTCACAACAAAAAATATATTCTTGTAATTATACAGGATAGCAATAAAGACTTTCTTTTATCAAAACTCTCAGAAAATCAGTTTATTCTCTCTTTGTGTGTATCTCTCTCTCTTTCTCTCTCTCTCCCCCTCCATTACAACCCCTTAGCTAATCTAAGTCAAGGAATATCATTAAAGGTATACTTATCTTTTGTGTATTCATTTTTTACATTTACGTTGAAAGGCTAAAATATTCTTATGAAATCTATCTTCAGCAATCAGCTGCGGCTAGCAAAATAAGAACTGTCTCAGACAAAACAAATCTTATTTCTTTATTAAGCCTACAGTTTAATGACTGCAAACAACATAACTGACTTGCCTCCGACAAAATGGTCCTTGACGTCAGGGACAAGCCCACCCATGACTACTGTGCACTTACCAGAGTTCTCTGGCTGTGGCAGGGCCTCCCACAGCTTGCCGATAGCTTTGTCCCTCAGTCCCTCCAACACAAACAGATGGTGCTCTCCGTCCAACACGTGGAAGCCGGTCACTATGTCAAGGTCAAGGCTGCACTGCTGTACACTGAGACACAAAGAAAACAAAAAGTCTAACGTTAATTAAAACAAAGCAAAGCTACTAACAAGTAACTTCCAAAAGCAGCACAAAAAGTCAATTTTCAGTGCTTTCTGCCTGAAATTTAAAAAGAAACCTCAAGCCTCCACAAATATCACTGAAACTCATTTGCACAACCCACATTATTGTCCATATATTTGTAAAGGCATCAACAGAGAGCAGGCTATTGTATATCTTTACTTTTAACGCTCTTTTTACTTTAAAATGGTTTTATTTGTCTTCAGCTACCTCATGTTGTGCTGATAAAAAGCTTTGCTCTATGTTAATTTCAGAACATCTCAGACCTGCTCTTCTACTTTGCTTAGATGACTAATAACCTAGAAGACAGAAAGAAAAAAACCAGACAAACAGACAAAAATTAGGCCAGACACATATCACCTTCAGCTGTCCACCAAAAAGCATCGAGTACTATTGTACAGGGTGCGTTTTTCTTCAGTTCTAAGAAACTAGGACTACTTGGGTAAGAACCTCGCTCTAAATATGGGTTGTTTGAAGATTTCTCCAAACTATTGTGGAAATGAAGAATAATTTGGAAACATCCCCCCCCACCCCTCCCCAATACAAGTACATGCACACATAAACGAACATGATATCAGATAGGTACAGGCATATGCGCACATACAGACAATAGCCTTAATCATTCAGAAAATGGTTTGGCATTCCGAATTCAGAAGACATTCCCAATCCCAAAGACTCACACAGACAGTTTGTATGTTGACAATGCTGCATCGATGACATGCTGTGGCATTGTGTCCAGTCCCAAAGCTCGTGCGTTGAAGCCCATGATCAAAGCTTGGAGCTGGTGCAGCATGGTCAAGTTATGGTAGCCAAACAGGAAGATGATGCGGGAGAATGGGCACTAAAATAAACAAGAAGGGTATTGCTTTTAGTTTTAGTAAAATTTTTTGTCACTTACAACACATTCGGGTCAAATATCTGCTGAAGATTAGAGGTGTTACTAGAATGTAAAATATAAACAGAAGAGAGAGTAGAGATAAGAAATAAGCAAGATAAATGTGTCATAGGAAAGAAGGAGCAAACCACACCACAGTACCCACCAACCACTCTCAAGGATACTTGAAGAACACCTGTTGCTCTCTTCAAATATTCAATGACCTTTATTTTGGCATATTTGTACAGCACTACTGCATATGTATACAACTGAGAGGGTGTGCACTTGTGAATAGTTAGGTGTAGACTCGTAAATATTTGTGTGTGAGTGTGTGTGTGTGTGTGTGTGTGTGTGTGTGTGTGTGTGTGTGTGTGTGTATCAATCTATTTGTCAGGCAACATCTAGAGTATCTAGGGATGACATCATCTGTATTTCCTTCATCTTCATAACTGAAGCTCTCTGAAAAGCTAACACATGAAACTAAAATGAAAAGAAATAAGAAGCACAATAACACAAGAAACATAAAATGTACGCAAACATAAGTTCAAAGTAATCTTCACCTCCTTAGAAGTTGGGATGTATTCTTTAGACGCCAGTTTTTGTGGAGTGGTCAGTGGGTGAGCCAGTTTAATCTTCACTTTCAGCATGGCCGTGTCCTGGATGTAGTGACCAGCAGATAGAGGTCGCTCAACTGTGGACATTAAGCAGTTTATTAAGATGAGATAAGATTACATGAACTATTAAAAGGAAAAACACTGTTTATTTTGATGGCTGGTGCAAGACTCCGACAAATGTTGTTATCGATCCAGCCAACAAATGCCAAACTGCAAGGAGTTTGCCTGAGTCTTGCATCCAGCAATCGATTTATTGGGATAACCAGAAGCACACTGACAGAACAACAATCAACCAGTGGAAGGAAGGAGCAAAACAGAGACAGAAACAATGGAAGTAGAATAAAACCGTTAACAATGTTTATAGTATGAGTTTAACCACATTTGAAACACAATTAAGTCATATAATAAGTGTCGAATATTAGAGATGTTACCAGATAGTAAAATACAGATAAAAGAAGGAGGAGAGGTAAGGATGATAAAAGTTTGATAGGAAAGAAGGAGCAAATCACACCGGAGCCCCCGCCAAACAACCACACGCCTTGTAAGATAAGTTTACTCAGAACGAGACATGGAAACAATAGACAGGAAATGAGTGGAGTGGTTCTCACGGTGACATTAAATATGGTTCCATTGGGGAACAGGATAGGGGGTGCCCACGTCCCTCGTGACCCATTGGAGCAAAGGGAAATAGGACTAATGCTAACATTAAAAAAACCCAACTCAGCTGACAGTGAGTGAACGCATATCTCCTCAAAAATTATTTGCATAAACACCATTTCACATCATCACTCACCACCGTCAGACCTAATACCATTGTTCTCAGATCCAAGACAAACATCTATATTGCTTGAATCTCTACTTGTAACAGATACACGTTATAATAACTATGTACATAATAAAATTTTGAAAACTATCATATGCACCTTCTTCTACTAATCAGATGGCGTCAATCTCATAGAAATGGGCAAGTGACCCCCCCCCCCCCAAAAAAAAGAGAAAAAAAAAGGAGTGAAGTGGTTCTCACCTGGGCCATCCACAGCCCCGGCCACACCCACTATCTTCCCTGAGGATGACGTGTCCAGGCCCAGCAGATCCGGCACAGGGCAGTTGTGGATTGGGACGGTGATCTCCAGGTAACGGTGACCCAGCAACAGCTCCGACAGGTCGAGGCGAGCCACACCATACGGGTCCCAGGGTTTGTCTCTCCCATGAAACGGATTGTGAATAGTGCGACGACCTAGAGCAAAATATATCATATATATTTAGAGACCAGATGAACTACAAATTCTAAATACACAGTAATTTCTTAGAAAAAGAAAAAGACGATGAAAATAGAATGGTCATTTTGTGCCGTGAAAAAATTATGTAGCAGGCAGAGAATGTAGCAAACAGAGGAAAAAGCAAAAAAGATATTGAATTCTCTGTATGGCCATACCAAACTTGTTAACAAAAAAAGTTACAACTTTAGCCTCATTATAATTGTCTGATTGGATGAGGATATGCATTGATAAAATAAAAGTACTCAAACAGTTTTCCTTTGTTCTGTTTTGTCTTTTCTTAAAGCATAACAATTGCAACCATGTTAAAACATTTTCTATAAAACTTCTACACATCCAGCACTTAATCAGGACATAGAACCCCCCAAAAAAAGAAAATGGAAAGAAAATAAAAGCACTCACTTTCAACGGTCCCCACGTTGGCAATTTTCTCATCCTCCAAGTCATCACCAAATAACGTTGGCTTCAGAGCCACTTCCTCAGGTTTACGGTCACGGTCGTGGACCTCAATCTCCATTGGTGGCCCATTGAGATATTCTCTCAGCTCCGACTTTTCCATTGTACCTGTGAATACAATTGGGGGAAAAAATCGTTTCATGACCAAGCCGCAGACATACCAACAGCCATATCTGCCTAACCAATCATGTACAGAGAAGTCAGGGTCTTACTCTCTTTCACACAAACATACACACACATACATACACATGCACACACTCACGCATACAGACACACTCACATGAACGCATGCATGCATGCACGCACGCACGCACGCACGCACGCACGCACACACACACACAAACACAATGCATATTATTCATCATGCACAAACACACTATCTATCTCCATAGTACAGTACAGAGCAGGACAACCCTTGTCTTTTATGTCCTTTATGTCCACCATTACTCACCTAAAAGAACCACATTCGTGTCCTCCCAGTAGAGATCTTTGTCATGTTCTTTGCCTGGGGTGACATGTTCTGGCTCTTTGAAGAACCGGTACTTACAGTACACTGGGTGACACCTGAGGGAGGTTGACAAAAGAGAAAGGTGTTACGGTCATGAAGGCAACACAATGAAAAGAAAAGTTCTTTTTAAAGCTTGTTTGAGAGTACTTCTTGCATCTGATTTCACAACATCATGACACAAATATATTCTTTTCCAATGTTTGAGTGCTTTTAAAATGGCAGTTTGTGCTGGTTGCTTCCCAAGAAGTTGAGATTTTTTAAAGATAAGATAATAAAAGAAAAGATAATAGTTCATTATTCCAGAGGGAAATTTTTCTTGGCTGCAGAGGGCTGTAAAAACACATGCAGGTATACATAAAAATTTAAATTATATATTACTCTCAATTAAATTCAATATGAAAAGAAAAGTAGAGCTGACAAAATGTACACATCACATCAGATGCATCATTCAAACACGTGCAGGAATGCAGAGACCACTTACTTCAACCTCAGATCCGCGTATGAGAGTGGTGTTGAGGGGAGACTTGAGACATTTTTCACTTGTATGATCATAGGGTTGAGCTCTTCCTTCTGGGAAGGGGAGAGCAAGGGCAGGTTGACGGACACACCAAGAAACACGTCCTCGACACCGGCAAGTGGCTTCTCCAGGCGACTCGCAACAACTTTGCAGTCTGGGGATAACAAAACATGCTGGGTTGCCAATTGCAGGGTATTGCCACAAATTTAAAAAAATGAAAAAGTCAGTAGTAGTAAATGTTTTACAACACTTGTAGCACAATAATGTCAGATAAGTGCCTAAGGTTAAAGGGGTTACTAAAGGTGTAACATACAAAGAAAAGATGGAGGAGGGAAAATAACAATGAAAAAGGAAATGGAGAGAGGGGGTAATGAAGGGTAATCATGTTTTAGTTTTATAATTTGAGAAGGCAATATGTATAGCTGTGTCAACAGAACGATAGCTGGCTGCAAGACTCCAACAAACACCACAGCACAAAATGGCGTTTGTCAGAGCCTTGCATCCAGCCATCAAGAATTAGGTGAACTCACCAACCAGCCACAGGCACAAATGTCTCTTGTCATGTTTGAGCAACACATCAGTTCACTGGATGTGCCTACCATGTTTACCATCACACAAACACAAACACATACGTATACACCAACATATGTACACAAACGACAGATGTTTGAAACAGTGTGTGGCTCATTTGAGTTAAAGATTTTTTAAAACCTAACCACAAGAATACCACATGTGATTACTATATCTAACAAATATCACAGCTTAAAATTCTCTGAACTATACACCTTATTGTAAAATGAACTCCTAGGACATAGAATTGAATGAAATACTATTCTACATAAGACTTAAAAACTTCTGGAGTTGACTAAAACACTTTTTTGGGGGGTAGAATGGCGTCAGAATTGAAAACTTTAGTGTTTGTGAAACGACACTGACAAAATGGCACTTTAATATACTTGTAGTACTTCATAAATACACAACTGAAGTCACACATCCCTGTAGTCTTGTTCCACTAATAATGCAGCCACACTATTTCCTACCTCCAAAAAGAAGCGCCAGTCGAAGAGGAATCATGCAGATGCCATATTTCTTTATGCGTTCAGCGTTAGCCCTGGCTTGCTCTGCCAGCTGTTTCTTGAGTTCTCTGTCTTCCTTGTTACTCGACGCTTTCCTCACAGATTTGTCTGTCCAGAACAAGAGCAGAATAGATAGGGAACTCATGCAGTATGATTTACTAAATTAATCTCATAGGCTGAAACTATCTGTGAATGACAGGAAAAAATCGAAGATGTTATGCTCTTACCATATAAAAGGTTTCTTGAAAAATTATTTTAACACACAAAAACACACTTCTTGTTTTATCTTAGTAAGAATTTTACGGCACTTGCAACACAATAATTAAATCACTATGCACCGAAGATTAAGGGTTTTACAAGAGCATAACAAACAAAATAAAAAAGGAGGAAAGATAAGGACGATAGGTGTTTGACAGGAAAGAAGGAGCAAACCACATCAGAGCATCCGCCAATCACCCACAAATACTCTTCAGATTCAAACGGTGAGAGAAGACTCAAAAGTCAGCCCATTGTATATCTATATTATTTATAGAGTATGCTGACTCCTGACTTTTATAAACAAGAGTCAGCGCACACTATAAAGAATATTAAGATCGACCTCAACAATGCTTGAAAAAAATACGTCTTAACTTTACCAGAGGAAAAAACAAAGAAGTAAAGGCCTATCAAAAATAAGGGAGGTGGAGAGAAGAGAAAGAGAGAGGGTAGAGAAAAGAGAAAGTAGAGGGAAGAAGCTACCAGCGACTGTGATGTAGTGATTAGGTGCTTCATCGTTACAAAAAAAAAGTCATCATACTTCTTCTAGTTGCACAATTAAAGCATAATATCATCGACATGTTATAATAATAATAATAATTGCATTTATATAGCGCATATCCATGCTCAAGAGCATGCTCTATGCGCTTTACAACTATTATTACCCCAGCAGACCCTCTGAGAACACTCAGAAACATACTCGGCTTCCGCGGAAGCATACAGTGCAAGCTGCGGATTTCACACGCTCAAACACTATCAAACTGACAAGATCGTTCACTGTCTATAGCCAGGTACCCATTTCCACCTGGGTGAAGTGAGGAAAATTTGTGCAAAGTGCCTTTCCCAAGGACACAACGTCGGGCCCCTGACTGGATTCGAACCCACGACCTAACGGTTGCGAGTCCGAGAGCTTAACCACTAAGCCACCAACGCCACATTAGCCCATGGTACATTCCCCTCTTTGTGTCTCACCATCACCAGGTTCCAGTGAGGCTGCGTTTGATCTGGTTGGAGCTCGGGAGTTGGCCGGGGATTTGGTGGGAGAGGGAGTGACACTCTTGGAATCTTTTTTGGCGGAAAGTATACCCCCACCTCCTGCACCTCCCTTCTTTTCCCTTGGGGATGACCTCTCTTCAAGCCGCTCAGTCCCTGCCAGTTGTCCCAGACGGCTGAAAGCTCTGGAAATACGAAAGCAAAACTTGTAAATAATATAATGTTCATTTGTTTGCTATAAGAGGCACATCAACGTAATGATTAATTATGTACTCTAAAAAGAATCAACACAACAGACAGAATCTATAGACTGGGAAAGAAGTTAGGCAAACGCCTGTGCCTGCACTACCCGTATGAAACCCAAAAAGAGTAATGAGCAAATATGAAAAATCTAATTAGGTTAGTGGAAATGTAAAGATTTCAAGGTCAGAGAGATATGAAGCTAAAAACTTTCTAGAATCAAGTATGTTTTTTTTAAAACTTCCAAATCATCAAACTTACAAAGGACAAGCATTCTGTTCATGAAAAGATACAGTTCAAAAGAAAACTACACAGATACATTCATGGTTAAAATATTCAACAAAAAAATAGAATGCCTTTCCTTTACAGGGGAAAAGACAAAGCTAAAATAAGGGAGGTCGACAGAAGAGATAGAGAGAAGGTAGAGAAATGAAGCTACCAGTATCTGTGGTGTAGTGATTAGATGCTTCATTGCGCAAGCAGTAGACCTGAGTATGATTTTTGTGAGAGAACAATTCTTATGGAGTACCTCAGTCTTCCTGCTGGGACATTGTATTCCTGTCAGCCCAAGTTGGCTGTGACAGGCAGAGTCAAAGCCCACCTCATAAATGATCTAAATTGTTCATATAGGGGCGTAAAGCACCACCGTTAAAAAAAAAGCTGGACTCAACAATGACATCACTTACATAAAAGAGGAACAAATCAACATGTTTGTCGGTTTAACATTTCCCCCTACACATAGCAAGATGACACAAAGATCACATCAGAGAGGGATAGTAAAACATGCAGAGAGAAATAGGACTAAACACCAGCCCTCTCACCGTCCATCTCTCCCATCCTTGCTGGGAACAGCTACCAGAGTCTTTGAGGAGGCTGTAGGGGAGATAATTCCTGACCTGCTGCGACGACTCTCGGCAGCTGACATAGCTATAAAAGGAGAAGACCAAAAAAAGAAAGCTTGTAATATAGTGAAACTTATTAAAACATTGTTATAAATGCAAAAAAACCCAAAACAAATACCTCAAAGTCAAAAGACACAAAGAAAAGAAAGTAGTACAGTAAAACCTGTCGAAGACCATCACCAATTGTCGAGTGGAAAAGGGTCACCTTAGACAGTTGGTCACCTTAGACAGTCATTACAATATAGAAAAAACGCCAGGGGGGAAGTGGGATGTGGTTGTTTGTACAGGTAGTCGTTAGAGCAGGTTCGACTGCGCCTATGTGATCTATCAACGCCTTCCTCTTTCTACCAGCAAACGGGGAGAAAAATACTGCTGAGTCCAACAAAAAGAGGTAATTGTTTTCTCCGATATAGAAAAAGCAAAGAAACTGGAAAAGATAAACAGAGCATTGAAACAAAAACAACATTTTTGTCAGTAGTCAGTAGCTATATGTGAGGGAAAAAAACAAACTATTATCCAATTTTAAAACTGTCTTCTATACTCACAGTGCTTCCGGCTGCCGTACAAATTTGGCACAGACACTTGTGAGGGCAAAGGTCGCACTGGCACACCCTTTTTTGGCTGCTGGTTTAGGAAATTCTTCATCTGCTTGGTCACCATGGCTTTGACCCCTCCAATGTCTTCTGGTTTTTCACCTGAGAAGAAGCAGCATAACCATGTTTGGGGTTGAGTTTTAGTTTTTTAGAAAAGGGGAGCACATCAGTACAATAACGGCCATTTAGAGCCCAGAACAAAACAGACAGACAGCCATACTGTCGTGCCAAGGCAGACTGATGTATCTGCAAAAATGATTAATTCATCTTCGTTTAAATGGACGCCCATACCCATCTTGTGTCAAAGGCAGGAAGATGTATTTGCACTACAAATAGGATATTTCACTATGACAAACAGACATAACTGAAGGGCCATGCCCATATTTCCAATGGCAGCGTGACATAACTCAAAATCATAAAAAGTGCAGATACGTCACTCTGCCTTGGCACGGCAACATAGTACAAAGAGAAAGGAAAGAAGTAGGATCTACACGAGGTGCCCTTCAACCACCTACCCAACAGAGCTTCACAGGGATGTTCACTCAAAATATGATTGAGGAATAGTTTCACAAAGTCTGAAAGTATCAGCATTAAGATTCATCTTCTTTATCCTCACTCCTCTGCTAGATCTTCCAGGCAGTCTTCAACTTACTGCATAAATTAGTTTAAAGTACACTGCATATCTCCTCACAGTTGCACAGTGTCCCTCCCCTTTGTGGAAGTCGTAAATGATTCAAACAAACCTGATTTCCTTCCCTACTGATGAAAGCTTGATCTAGAATTTACCTGTGTATTGTGCTTGAACACACTCCATCTACCTGAATGTTTAGTAACCAATGCATACTTAATTTGCATCATGCCCACACAGGATTCAGGAGTTTTCTCCCCTAATCCAAGAAAAATAGGTTTTAATCATGACAACCTTATTATTAGGGTCACATTTTTGCACTTCCATCCATTAAAACAATTTATCCAATAACAGTAACTTTTTCTTGTTTTTCCTTCACTTGTTCCCTCTTTTTGTTCCCTGGTAAAGAATCTTGTCTTATCATATTTCCTAAAAGAAAATAAACTCCTGGTCTCTTCTGCATCTTTCAAAACTTCTCGCCATTTTTTTTTTCAAATTAAAAAAAACAAACAACCAAAACTTATAATTAGGGATGAAAAAGATGTTAGGGAACCCCCCCCCCCTCCCAGATTATTCACCAACCTGGACAAACCTAGCATTGGTCCAGGCATTTTGGCACAATAGGCCAGTAACAAGGATTTCCCTAAATGTAACCCAACAACAGCAGCAGTGACGAGAACAATGAAAACTTAAAAAGCAAAGTAAAGTCTCACCTGGCTTGGGCTGAGGCAGTCTGAAGGCTTTCGGCCTGTCAAATCTGGCGCGGGTGGAGCATTTGTCCTTGGTGTCCCACACCCTCAGCTCCACGTTGTGTGTGAACATCTGCAGGAGCATCTCCTTAGTCACTGTCACTGTGTGGCTGCAAGAGGAGAACAAGGCAAAGGATGTCGGTAACATTATGTTCTATACACACAGAGTATGACCATAACAGTATGTTCCATACACACAGAGGATGACCGTAACACAATGTTCCATACACACAGAGTATTTTTTTTTAGTAAGAGTTTTACGGCGATTGCAACACAATAAGGCCATATAAGTGCTAAAGATTAGAGGTGTTACAAGAGAGTAACAAACACAAAAAGGAGGAGGAGAGAGAAGGACGATAGTTTATTGTTTTTGGAAAGAACGAGCAAACCACACCAGAGCACCCGCCAACCACCCACAGAGTATGACCGTAACACTATGTTCTATAAATGCAGAGTATAACAGTAACATTATGTTCCATACACACAGAGTATAACAGTAACATTATGTTCCATACACACATACACACAGAGTATAACAGTAACATTACGTTCTATACACACAAAGTATGACGGTAATATTATGTTCAAACCATACTGAGGATAATTCTAACATTATGTTCCATTCCCACTCACCAAAGTGAAGCTAAAGATTATTCCCCTTTCTGCAAAGTCTTGATTGTGCATACATCATCTTGACTCTATCTA